TTCTTGGAAACTCCCATACATGTTCGCCCATATTTGACACGGGTCTGGCGAGCCGTTTTATAGGTAAGTGTAACTCTCATTGCACCCACAATCACACCCACATCGCCTTCGCTCGGCTGACGTTTCAATCGCTCAAAAGAGCTCCCAAAGATGTTCCTATAGAACCTTTTTTCCAGAGCTATGGGACTCCGATGCGTAGGTGCTTCTGCTGACCCTGCCGTCCTCGCCTCGCGCGCATGCGCCAAGCCATCCTGCGGAGGCACGGTAAGCGAAGGTTTTGGCTTCAAGGTTTAGGGTTTTCGCTTCAAGGGTTTAGGGTATTTAGGGTCCCTTAAAAGTCTTTCGTGCATCCAGTGCCTCTGGGCAAGAGGAGCTTGCAGCTCGCAGGCTTTCGGAAGGGCCAAGCAGCTCGCAGTCACTTAAGCAAAGCTACGGACTCCTGTCCAGACTCCAAGTTGCTTACCGTTGGTTAGTAGGGAATGGAAGAATGGGGTACAATTATAGCTACTATTACTACCATTCTTCCATTCCCTACTAACCAACGGTAAGCAAGGGCTGGCTACCTTCATTGTAGAAGCAAACGGACGTGAAGGCCTCGAGATCACCACGGGTAAAGTAGCCGTTCGCGAGGGCGAAGTGCGCGGAACTCGGCAGGAAGGGATTGGCAGAACAACTGACGGCCCAAGGCTCCAGCAATACATTTAGGTGAAACATACCTGCTATCTGTACTACTATGAAAGGCTGGTTCTTGCAAGGATGTTCAAGAGTGCCTGCAGCTCCAAGCGGAGTGCATGCTAGAAACGTCGACAATATCATTTCAAGAGCTGACTGATATCGCCCATTATGTCTACCGCTCCTCCTTGGCGGATACGTCTTCGCTTCACGCGTGATTTGGGACGAAAGGATACCGGTTTACCTAACCAGCTTGGGGATTGCGCTGCAAACGCTTTGTTTCGATGATGCGGCGACGGCAACCGTAGAAACAGAGTTGATAAACATATAACATGTAGATCCGTATGCATACAGATAGGTAGGCAGACCTTCGCAGATGTAGGAACACTGATCAAGGTCCTCGGTATGTATGGTCATGTTTAGCCCTCCGCCACCAGCATCAACACCATCATCGTCGTCCCGACTATCCTGATCAAGACGCCCGGCGCTATCGTCAGAGTGACAACCATCATTCATCTAGGCAACAACATTAGAATCATTAGCATCATCACCATCCCCATCATCACCAGCACAAGCACCACCACCTGCCAGCAGCATTAGTGTCATCCCCAGGCTCGGCGAATCTGTGAAGGAGCTTTTCTGGCTTCTGTGCCGTGAAGCCTGAAGACGGCTCTGCCTGAAATCCTCAAGCCTAAACTCTGCATCAGCCCGCAGTCGTTCATAATGAGGTTTAGGGTTTAGGGTCTCTCGGTGGTGCGACTCAAACAGATCAAGCTCCCCGCTGAAGTCCAACAAAGTCGTCCGAGTCCTTGTAGAGCCCAAGTGCTGCCTGTCATCAACATAGGGGCCTTAATCATTAGAATTAGAATAGGGTTTTGGGACCCCCATTTTACTGTAATTATAATAAGGAACCCCCAAAATCAGTATGGGTAACTATTAAAGGCCCCAAAACTAGCCGAATATCGGAGCCAAGGCAGCTCACAAGCTTCTCCCCAAAGGAGCAAGTTGGAATCTGTAGCTGGTGCGTGCTTTCTGCATCGTCGCGCCTCACGACGCGACTAGCCGCACTAGACTTCTCAATCATGTTCTGAAACGATGCTTTGGGCTTAGAAACTCGATAGCTTAAAGCCTAGTTGTGACACTCAAGCTGTTTGTATGCCTTTCCTTCCATAGGTTCTGAGGACCCAGAGGTTCAAGGGATTCGGGTTGACATTGACGTCCGCCATGGCCCTCCACACCTGCAGGTACCGCATGCCCTCGGCGCTCATAGGGTTCTCCGCAAGGAGTGCTTGTCCAAGAACCTCAACATGCACCGCAAGGGTGATGGGCTTCATGGAGGCTGCGTGCATTATGGCAGTCTGCACCTTCAGATCGCACTGCGAGGGAGAAGCTCGAAGCGGAAGACTTTAACAGCAAGGCAGCAAAGCAGTCTTGCTTTCTGAAACCTGCGCAGACGGCGGCCAATACATCTCAATGAGAGTACTGGCCCAATGGTCCTTTAAATAGGAGTTTGAGGCTAAGTTCATTGTTGACCTTCTGCACAAGAATGTTTCTTGACTACAACGACAGTCTGCTGTTCTACTGGTCGTCACTCCTATGTTGGGCAGAGCATGCATCCAGGCAACGACCATGGCAGAGGCTTGTCCAGCCGAGTGCTGCCTGGGTCATCAGCTGCTGCCACTCCTACCAGGTCCTACTAGGTCCTACTACCTCCACTTGCCATTGCTACTGCTCTACTGCTACTGCACTGCCTCTACACTGCTTTTGTTACTTCTACTGCTACTGCTACTGCCACTGCTACTACAATGCTTCTGCTACTGCTTACTGCTCACTGCCACGGTTACTGCCACTGCTACGATACTGCTTCTGCCTCTGTTTCTACTTCTACCGCTACTGCTACTTCTACACTACTGCTACTGCTACTGCTACTGCGACTACTACGACTACTACGACGACTACTACTACTTACTACGACGACGACGATTGCGACCACTACGCTACTCTGAAATGCTGCTACTGAAAAATGCCGATATTGTTGTTGGTGGGGTGCATGCTGAATCTACAACGTCCAGATAGCGTGCACATTGCCACTAGTACTGCTTCCTGCTGACATTCTCTGCTGCCCAAATATGACTTCTTCCTGTATAGCCAAGGGAGTTTCGCGTTGTGTGTATGAAATATGACGATGATGCTGATGACGATGATGGAAGAGGATCCAAATAGCACACGTGACAGAGCTTGCCTTAGTTCGACAATGTCCGGTTTTGCTGTAGCTAGTGTGCATAGGACAGCATTGGGAAAGACGGGCGAGGTGGAGCGAGAGAGCGGGAGAGAGAGAGAGAGAGAGGCGGAGGGGGAGCACAGAAAGGACAGAGACTAGGAGACAGGGCGAGCGAGATTACAAGCCGGGAAGCTTCTCGCGACATCTCTGAAGTTGTTCCTGCGCGTCAGGAAGCTACTCCGAAACCCTGCATGACGTTGAAGCTTCGGACCATTCTTTTGGGACGGGAGACGGTTGACATGAATGCTCTGCAATACATGCCACAAACCTGGCGGATTTACAAAATTCTGCAACGTGACAGTGCTCACTAACAGACAAAACGACAGCAAGGGCGGCAGCAGCCTCAACAACACTGACAACAACAACGACGACGACGACGAAGACCGGCGGCAGCAACAACCGCAACGGCCACAGCAGCAGTAGGAGTAGTAGTAGTAGTAGTAGTAGGAGCAGTAGGAGTAGTAGTAGTAGGAGTAGTAGGAGTAGTCGGAGTAGTAGGAGTAGTAGGAGTAGTACCTGTAGTTGTCGTGGTGGTAGTAATAGTAGTAGTAGCAGTAGTTGTAGCTGCAGTTGTTGCCAAGGTAGTAGTAGTAGTAGTAGCAGCAGTAGTAGTAGTCGTCGTAGTAGTAGTAGTGGCAGCAACAGCAACAGTAGGAGTAGTAGTAGTAGTAGTAGTAGTAGTAGTAGTAGTGGCAGCAGTAGTAGTGTACTGGTGTACTAGTGTACTTGTGTACGCGTGTACTTAGTGCAACTGGTGTACTACAATACTAGTGCACTAGTGTAGTAGTATAAAAGTGCTAGTGTCCTAGTGTACTAGTGCACCGGTGTACTAGTAGTAGCTGTAGTAGTAGTAGTAGTAGTAGTAGTAGTAGTAGTAGTAGTAGTAGAAGTAGAAGTAGAATAGTAGTAGTAGTAGTAGTAGTAGTAGTAGAAGTAGTAGTAGAAGTAGTAGTAGTAGTAGTAGTAGTAGTAGTAGTAGTAGTAGTAGTAGTAGTAGTAACTAGTAGTAGTAGTAGTAGTAGTAGTAGTAGTAGTAGTAGTAGTAGTAGTAGTAGTAGTAGTAGTAGTAGCAGTAGTAGTAGTAGTAGTAGTAGTAGTAGTAGTAGTAGTAGTAGTAGTAGTAGTAGTAGTAGTAGTAGTAGTAGTAGTAGTAGTAGTACTAGTAGTAGTAGTAGTAGTAGTAGTAGTAGTAGTAGTAGTAGTAGTAGTAGTAGTAGTAGTAGTAGTAGTAGTAGTAGTAGTAGTAGTAGTAGTAGTAGTAGTAGTAGTTGTTGTTGTCGTCGTAGTACCAGTAGCAGGAGCAGCAGCAGCAGTCGTCGTCGTGGCAATAGTAGTCGTCGTCGTCGCAGAAGCAGGGGCGCAGTTGATGTCCTGACACTGTTGCCGTTATCGGAATCGTAAACACCGCCCCGAAAAGAAACGCAGCCGACGGCCTCTTGATCCTACAGACCTTGCGTCGGTCCTTCGAGCGCTTGATGGAGCCAGTTTTGTCGCCCCTCAGCAGCAAAAGCAGCGTACAAAACGAATGCCTTGAGGCTACTAAAGTATGACGGGTGTGATCCCCTTTGCAGTATCAGCTTGATCATCAGCGGCTGGTATCTAAACCGATCTCCGGTGGTGCGAAGACCGCGCTTCATGGAAGAAGTACGAATCCAGGATCGCCGCCTCCGCAGCATGATCTCCGCGATGTTGTAGCTGGCCTGGGCCTCTTTCTCGATGTCATCAGCCGCGCGGGCCTCACAAATGCACAGGTCCGGAGTGTCCAAGTCTTGCCGAGGTTTGCTATTCTAATATATTCTAATGGTCTGCCGATGATGCCTAGGGCCTAGGGATATGTGGCAGCCTAGGGAGATGTGCAGCAGCCAGGGTTGCAGGGCTGAGGTTGAAAACTCGATGCCTACATACAGAAGGCATCGCACAGATACGCTTGGCTACAGATCTGTTGTTGCCAAGGCCGCTTTCCACGTGTTCTACTTACGTTAGTGCTGGTTGGCTACTTCATGGGAATCTACAAGGCGATGTGTACGAAAGTATGCTTTCTTGGCAATCAGTCTTCAGGCGTCAGTTGGTGCAGCTGGCCCAGCAACTCGCCACACCCGTACAGATCGGCCGATCGCCAAGCTCCCCAGGTCCCATCCGACACCCAGGTGCTGCTGAAATCAGGGCTGAAGCTGGGAAGAATCAACTCGCATCTTTGGGACAACCTCAACACTGACTCTACACATGCTCGACACACCCAACCCACAGGCTCGGCCCATGGTGCCTTTTCTTCAGCCTGCTCGGCATACTTGAGGGCCTGAAGGGCAAAGGTTTTGGCGGGCTGAAGAAGAGAAGAGCAGGTGCCGCTTCTGTCCTACGGGTTCTTCACGGGACAACTGCTAGTCCAATGCGTAGGTTTACTGTTACCAGGACCATGCTCAGCAAGTTGTACGGTCATTGTTCGTTATCTTCTGTGTCGATTGAAACGCGTGACATCGTGTGCCTTTCATGTAAACGTTTGCTCGTACATGCACCTCTGCTTACTACACTTGTAATGACTGCTGATGATCTCAACTTGCCACCTTCGGAGTGCTTGTGTTGATGATGTAGCATGTTGAACATCTACATTCCGATACGTGTCCCACGGAATGCCAGCCCGAAGCCTATTAAGCACAACACATGGAACTTGCCTCGCCATCGTTCTGCGAGGAGAGGCAGGCGCCCACCAGGCGCAAGAGAGCGGCTGCCTGCAACTTAGGGCTTGCAGGGCTTTGGACTTAGGAGGGAATTTCCGGTTTCCGCTCAGGATTCCCAAACACTTCTCTGCTCATGGGCAGGCAAACCCTGAACCCAAAGCTGCTAAACTCTAGACCGGCACGGCTCAGGTTCGCTTCATAGATAATTATACTCAAAGCCTTATGACCTAAACGAAGAAGCTCTACACCCCCGCACCCCAAAACCCGAAAGAACCCGAACACGAACCCCTGCGGCCCTGAGTCAGAAAACCCAAAGCCCATAGCCTCAAACATTTACACCATCCCCATCTCCCTGAACCTCATAATATAGGGGCATGAATACTTACCTACACTATTTTGGGCTTCCTTAATAAATACAAGATAATTTAATAATGGGCGCCCCAAAACCCTGTAATCATTGAACCTTATATTGCCCTAGACAAAAGGCCCCACTGCAGCCGCTAGCCCCACCTCCTTGGACTGATCGCCGGTAGCCTGCAAGGTTGTTTCCCAACGCGGGTTTCTGAAACGGGCTGGTGTGGAGGTTCTGTGAAGGTTTAGGGTTTAGGGTTGGGTACAGAAGGCTGACTGTTGGGGATGGCGTGACTAGTAAAGGTGTTGAGGGGGTGCATTCTTCCTTGGTACCAAGCTAGATTGTGCCTATGGTGGTTGTCGTGCATGATTCGGATACTGTTTTCGGAGAGCTTGATACGGACTGTATAGAGAGAGAGAGAGAGAGGGAGTGTGTGTGTGTGTGTGTACTACGTACAGCGGGAAACTGGCGTACGCGAGCTGTGAAATTTCTAAGGCCAGGGAAGCTTTTTGAAGCTGACATGACATAGCAGAGCATCAACGAGCAAATGGAGCAGCGATTCTATCTGAAGCCAGTTAGGAGGCAAAGAGACAGAGGCGACATTGCCATGCTTGATGCGAATCTCTCCGCAAAATCTGCATACTCTCAGCCGAGTGCACATGGTGCTGGTGGAGTGGTCAGTGGCTGTCTCTGGTGTACCAAGCGACCGTAGGCCGGTTCAAGCCTTGAACCTGAAAGGACTGGTAAAGCCCTTCTTCTCTCGGCTCTTGGATGAGCCAACCTTAAACCCTAAACCCCAAACCCGAAACCCTAAACCCTGAACCCCAAACCCTAAACCTTAAACCCTATTAAACCCTGCACCCCAAACACAAGCAAGCCTAGTAATCCTTTAAAAGCCCAGGCGCCTGCACCACCGCCAAGGCCTCCTGGCCGGTGGCCACTGCATCGGAGCCCTGGCAATCGGAATTCATTTTTGAGACATTATACCCTAAACCTTAAACCCTAAACCCTGAACCCTAAACCCTAAACCTAGATCCTGATTGACAGGGAGGTAGCAGGCTTCTTTAAGTTTATGGTTTATAGGGTATAGGTTTTAGAACTTAGGGTTAAGGGCTTATGGCAAAATGGAGTGCGGCTGATCTTGTGGTATGTAGATGACTTGCCCCCTCAATTTCTCGGCGGCTGGTTAGAGTTTCACCACCTCGAACCTCCCCAGGGCTGCGTTGCGAATTTCGACTCTCGGCCTGCTGCTTGCTGAGCATGAGCTCAGACATAATCTGCAGAACTTCCAGCTCACCATCCTTGGAGATCGTTTCAACTTGGAGGTGGTCTGAAAGGAACTCGTAGACTGTCAATGGAGTTCCATACGGCGTATCTGGCAGTGTCTATGCATGCGGATATATACCTACCTACCTGCTTGCCTGCCCTACCTACCTACAATCCCGTGTTGAAGTTTGCGCGCAAAACTCCTTATAAAACTGGGAGTCAAGAGCTTTGCAGTGTTCAGTGTATGTTATCAAGGCGTTCCGAGCCACCATGGCTTGAGTGCGCGGTCGCTGCTTGGTTTTGAGGCCTACTGCGTCAAGATGAAGCCTCAAGAGACTGGAGCTTGAACGGACGATGGAGTTTCGAGCGATTCGGCTCCGGAAGCTCAGACCGACTTCTGCTCACAAGTACGTGTAAGTCTGGCATTTGAGGGGCGCAAAGTCGGGGTGCACTACCTTTGAGAGATGTTCGGGTTCAAGCGCAATGTGGCATGAGCTTTCAAGGAGAGCTACCCGAAGTAAGAGATCCTTTCCTACCTCGTCGCAACGTTGATGAAGATTCTTGTTGTTGTTACCGCCCTTGTTAGAGTTTGGACCCACAGGCTGATCAGCATGCGCGTAATGCGGCGTACCAAAGCGAGCGGTCAACCGCACTGCCGCTCTACGCGGCCAGTGCCAGGGAGCGATTAAGTGCAGGGAGCAAGAGCCGTTCATGTGTTGATACAGACTGTAGCTGTAGTGTGTTAGAAGTCTAAGGGAATGAGGGCCTCGCGAGCAGAGTCTCCCGAAACCCGAAGTTCGGCTGGTTGGAGGCAGCCACAGCAGCAGCGGTCGTGGCAGCAGTATAACAGTAGTAAGAGTAGCAGCAGCGGCGGCGGCGGTGGCTGCAGCATCGGCGCCAGCAGCGTGGCCACACACATCGCAAGCATCACCGCCGTCACACTCGAGATCCGATCCGAATGCACAGGCGCGCACCTTGTTCCCGTCCTCCTTCATGAAGGTCCGGGCTTTCTTCAGGGCATCCACGGCGCTGCTAACGCCTGGCAAAGATTCTCAAGTGTGGGTCGGTCGCAAGGACGGCAGGTGCCGCAACTGAAGGGTTCTTTGCCGGCTCATGACTGACATTTTATGTCTCAGGTCTGACGTGATGATTCTGGTAATGTAGTGGATGAAAGTAATTCTCGTAGCTGGTTCTAGCACTTTAGTTCAATATTTTTACGTTGATTCAGTGCAGTATAGTTGAACATAGTCCTTCACAAAGACCTGAGTGTGACCGGGCCTTTGCCGCCCATGGCGGCGTAGACCTGTGAGATGCCATACTGGATGCTGGCCTGCGGCTGCAAGAACTGGGAGCATTAAAATATTTTGATAATTACTACTCATACTACTAGTTTTGACAATGCCAATAATCCTAAAAATACACAGAGGCTCTCTGGGCTTAGGGTTTTGGGTTTGGGTGTAGGGAGTTCAGGGGCATAGGCTGGACAGGAAGCATAGCGACAACAAAACTGAAGCAAGGTGAAATGAAGAAACCGAAGCTCACGAGCTTGAAGGCCGATCCTAAGCTATGTTTAACCTTAAAGGGGCCCTCCCCACCAAGTCAGGCTCCACTGCACTTTGCAAGCCTCTTGTTTCCGGGGACCTACGCTCGGTGGATTAACTCCACTTCTGCACTACTGACCTCCCCACAATCATAAAGCCAAAAACCTGATCAACTTGGACTCTGAGCTCTACCCAAAGTAGCAGCTTGCCGCAGCGCCTTCTCCGTCCCTGTGCCCTGGACGGCCTTCTCCAAAGCCTGCGGGAAGGCCGCTAGGAACGACTAAAGGTCCAAAAACCGATACCTCGAGCTTGAATGCAATCGGGCAGAGAATGTATACAGAGTCGAAGAATGCTCGTCTTCTCCACTAAGATATGAGCGGCATAGATGCTTCCAGAAGTACAGGCCACATCGATACTGCCACTGTTCATGGATCCCGGAGTCTTCGGAACTTGGCTTTAGGGATGAAGATCAACACTGCAAAGGCTCGCAAGGCTGAGGCTGGCTGGAATCTCTCTTCCCTGCTGTAATGTTAGCCCCTTCTGCTCGCTCTCAAGGCCTGCAAGGCTTCGTCAAACTTCTGCTGCCTTAGCAGCAGCACAGCGGTGTTTGACAGGGATGGCACTAGGGACAGTGAGGAACAAGAAGCCTGAAACCCTGATCGGGACTTTTATCCGTTTTGCAGTGAACATGCCAGGGTGGTCAAACAGCACAATCGCAAGCTGAACCCTGGCCTAGTTCAAGCTTGCGGGCTCAGGCTCTCAGAAGTTGGAGTTTCAACCTGTGAAGTTCCATGAGCGATGAGCCCAAGCCGTGACTGACAGCTTTGCCAATCTTTTGGGCCTTCATGCGGTAGGCAAGGCGGCTGTGTAGATACTGGCAAAGCTCCTTCCATACCAGACGCGAATACTGTCCCCAATCGTCGGCCCTGTGGTAGGTAGACCCTCAACCACTTCCAAAGCCCTGACCACCGAATTCCTGAAGGCCAAACCCTGGAGCGGTGCAGCCCAAAACCCTCGCCACCCCAAACCATAAACTGCAAGATCATACTACACTAGTACGTGTAGTTACTAGAATTAATACTATGAGGCAGTCAACCCTGAGGTTTCACCGGAGCCCGGGCGAGAGATACAGCATAGCCATGGAGCGCAGGGCCGTCACGCTGCCAGCCTTTGGCTTCCGGTTGTAGAGGAGGAGTAGTCGTCGTAGTTTAGTAGTTGTCGTCGGTTTCGTTGAGGTTGTGGTGGTGGTTCGAAGAAGACACTAGTCACTAGTCATAATCACGATCATGCTAGTTGCACAAACCTTACAGCTCAGGGTCGATGCACCATCCGAAAGACCTGCCTGTCACTTCACCTTTCGACAATGACAAAGCTTCGCTAGCAGCACGAAACCCCACTCTGGGACAAATGTGCTGTTGTTTTCCAGTTGTAGCAGTGGCGACAGTACTGGGCAGCCCCTGATGCGAAAGCTTTACAAGTGCAGCCGTCAGCCAAAACTTCAAAAGGCCTTGTCTCCGCTTGCACCGAAGCCTGCAACAGCCTGGCCAAGGCGCAGATTCCGTTGTGCTGTGCTCTACTGGGTCTGCTGTACTGTACTCTGACTGCCAATACCACGATTGAAGATCAAATGCCCCGCTCAGCATGCTGGATCAAAGATACGTGTGTCACAGATGTGATGGGCTTCACAGATCGATATTTCAGACAGGTGGGTAAGCTGCATAATCTTGTTGGATGCACGTGAGATATGGGATGATGTCTTACTGTTGACCTTTCCGTAGAACGTGGAGAGCTTGTGGCTTGACAGCAACCCCAGTTCCTGGCAAACTCCTGCCATGTGCCTCCTCAACGAGGGTCCGGGCCCCCTCCATGGCGCTCATGGAGTAGAAGACGGCCGCAAGGCGGAGGAGGCAGGGAGGCTCCTGCAGAGCGTCTGGGCTGAGCGACTGTGTTGCACTCGTCATTGCCGTCGCCTGCTCCCACTCCTACCCCTACCCCTCTTACACTCCTACTCCTGCTATTACTACCACTGCGACTGTTGCTGCTGCAACAGTCTAACATGGACGGCAGTAGCAGCCTCCTTCTTGTTGCCCTTCACCTGATCCCGGATCTCTTGCTCCACCTTCACAGCCTGCGGGCAATGGTCCAGAGCCCGAGACAAGACCCTTCTTCGGCGGGTGGGACCGGGGCAAGGAGTGGAGCTGAGAATTTTCACCTGGCAACTCAGTGATGCTTTGACATCGGCCGGTCGAAACATCGCCGAGTCCTACAACAGCAGGATCTGATCTTGGCCGCACATGTTGCAAGTAGGTTCTGACAGGTCGAGAAGATGGCAAAACTCGAGAGGAACCGTACCGTGCCAAGATCTTCGCCCAACACCCTTAGCTCAAAAGGCTGTGACAGAGGGCTGCTGAAGGGCTCAGGGTTCAGGCCAATACCACCGAACCTTATCCAGGAATTCAATGTTCATTGGCAGCAGGTTCCTGACCTCTTCCCTCTGGCCGTTGGCGAGGTGGAACTCCAAAATGTCCTTCAGAACATCATCTATATACGAACCCTCAATCTTACACAGAAGTCTGCCCCTTTCGAAGCTCCTTGCTGAATAAGATGTAGCCTGCTTCCCTCAACCGTGGTAAGGTACGTGGTCTTATGCAGGATGACTGTCTGAAGCAGCCATACTGCAGAATCCCGGGTTCAGGGCAACCCCACAGAAGCCCTTTCAAGACCATGAAAACCGCAACACAAGTACAAAGCAACGCACAAGCACAAATGGACAAAGGTAGTCTAATCCCATCTAATTCCTATGTACAGTTGGTCTTGACATCACGTGCCCAGCACAGCGTGTCCTTCATCACATCCTCCTGCTCCCTTTTGTCACCCACCTGGCGGTTGCGGAGACTCTGATGGGGCTGAATGCCATCACATCTCAAGCATGAACACAGTTGGGCGTCAAGCTCGAAGACTCTAGTATGCTCGAGCTCAAAGCTTTCGGTCGACTGCGTAAGTTGGATTCGAGCAGGCTACAGCATTACCACAAACGCAAAATTCAACCAGAAGCCCAAGTGCAATGCCAATAAACCACAGCAACAAACTCCCCTGCAAGCTTCCCTGTGTCACCTCGCCGTACAGCGCGGCGACCTCCCTCAAAGACTTCGGGAGATTCTCAATGGCCTGCCCGGCTGTGTCTAGGCTTCTGTGTTCTTGGTTCAACTGCAGTGGGTTAGCGGTTAACTCCTCTTAGACGGGGATGCATCAAGTGGCACGCAGTTGCCTTTCGCCCCTGACGATAAACAGGCTCAGCACGTGGGACAGGCTTATCGAAGACAGGACACAACCATTCACAGAGGCACGATCCACAGTAGTCAAAGTCACGGAAATCGGTTCGGGATTCAGCAGCTGCTAGCAGCCTAGATAAGGATCCAGACGTCCGATGCCATTCGAGCAGTTGCCATGCAGCTCGAAATCCTCAAACCCCCAGGCCAAATTCCGACATCCTCCTTAACTACTGAAGAAGGGTTTTATAGGGCGCCACAAAAGCACATAATTCATAAGCAAAGCTATCCCATGTAAACCGCCTTATACTGAAGGCCAATAAGGTAGGGATATCCCTATAAAACGCTTATGCTCATACCTATTTGGGATCCCAATTTTCGAAGGCTTTCTCACGAGACCCGTGCCTAGAGCCGAGAGATGCTCATCTCCGAGCGAGCTTGTCCACGATCAATGCTCGGACGAGACGGCGATGGAACCCAAGGTTGTAGTGCTAGCCTTGACGAAAAGCCTACAACTGTTCTCATACCCCCTAAACCCTGAAACCCCAAGCCTAAAACCTCACACATCTGACCCCATAACACCCACTCACCCCCTCATCCCAAATCCGCCGAAGTCTCCCGAAAACCCACCGGAAAACGCCCCTAGACCCCCCCTTTAAACACCTCCCCCCTAAACCGTAAACCCTAAACCCTAAACTCTAAACCCTAAACTCTAAACCCTAAACTCTAAACTCTAAACGCTGAACCCTAAACCCTAAACTCTGAGCCCTAAACCCTAAACCCCAAACCCTAACCCTAAAACCTACACTAAAGCCTAAAACCTACACCTACACTAAAGCCTAAACCCCTTTCTGTCGAGGCTTTGGGCAGCCTTTCGGTCTTCCTGCAGCACTTTGACGTGCACCGCCAGGTAGCTTGCCAGCGCCTGGGCCTTCTTGTCACCGGCCTGGCTGGGGGTCTTTGTTGATTTTTTTGAACCCTCTTTTCCGTTTGCCCTGGGGGGTCTAGGGTTTTGGGTTTAAGTTTAGGGTCTGGAATGGTATATAGTTTTTTGTATTTTGTGCTGTATCATAATATGTTAGAGTCTTTTATTGGTGTATTATTTCTGGGACTGATACAGGGCTTGGTTGGGGGATTCCTGGAAGTGCAGGGTTCAGGTTTGCCCAGGTGTCCGAAGCCATAGCCATAGATGTTATTATAGTACAGTGCAGCATATTATGTTTTTGCATACTACCGTATTACAGTTTATTGTTTCTGGGACACAGTTTAGGCTTGCAGTCCAGAGTTTGGTCTCCCTGCATCCTACCCAGGCCAGGTTTAGGGTTTAGGGTTTAGGGTTTAGGGTGGGCCAGCAGTGGCATCGGCGATATCAGCAACAACTGCAATGTGAATGAGCAAAATTCCAGTGAATCTAGTGAATGACTTCCTCCCAGCAGTGCATGTACCAAGAGCACTGTCCACGGAAACACAGCCACGATAGTTACCAACACTTGTAAACAGCAACAAACGTAAACCATCCGGAAATGACTAAGAGAGCAAAAGATGCTCATCGTGTGACAGGTGCACGGCCGAATGACGGGGGTCTAGAAGAGTGTCGACATTCACAACATTTGAAGGTGTGTCGGGTAGCAATCCCGACACGCTTGATAGTCTCATGATGCTCAAAGTTGTGGCAATGGGACTTTCAGAAATTTCTACGCACCGGTGGCATTAGCACTGCCGCTCGGCAGGACTTTCCTCAGCGACAATAGTACGTCTAATTGCTCAAGTGGACTGGGCCATCAATCTTGGACAGGTCCACATGGCCTACGCTTTTGGACGAGACGCTCGCTGCAGAGCAGGACGCGAGACTCCCTTTTCCCTCTCGCGGCCAGCATCTCTCAGGGTTTATGAAGACTGCGGGGCCCAGATCCTACGCGAGTTGTTTACAGCTAAGCCGATCATATCATGCCATCGGATAGCAATATGGGTGGTTTCTAGGGTACGGCACCTATTATTTAGGGTACCCCAAAAAGGGACCCTAATTTTGACAACCACCCATATAGTACTCCATGACAGTAGCGTCGAAGGTAAAGGAACCTGGGGAGTCCCACAGTCGCGGTATATGTCTACGACCCTACGATATGCTATGGGGGCCTTAATAATTAGAATACGGTTTTGGGGCCCATGATACTATATTTATAATTAGGAACCCTCAAAATAGTAGTGGTAATTATGTAGACCCCTATATTGCATGATTCGATGTCTCAGACGGCCGTGCCGTTCCGGATCTTTGCCAACTCGTCCACCTGAAAGTCTGCACACTTCTGGGCCTCCCTCCCTGGTTCTCACGTTAGTTCAGGGATGCCTACCTCGCACTTGCCGAGGAGCGCTAACTTTTGCCAAAGATGTCCCGAGACAAGACAGTACCAGTAGCAAGCATGCCCAGCACAAATCCAATTCCCTAGAATCCTCTTGAAGCGTGGGGAGTGCAGGCAGCGGCCAGTGACGGGCTAAATCTAGCAAGTCCAAGAATACAAGTTCAACCTCTCGCAGTGGCCAATGGCAGCAATGACATGGCACTGGTGGAAGTTGAGACCAACCTCTAGTCTACACTTCGCTTGGTCTTGATGCTGCAGAGACGGCCATCCAGAAACGATGCAACAAGAGAGCCCCAAAACAGCCGGAATCAGGCCAACCCGAAGTGTTCTCGAGTTGAATATCTGCCACATTGTTTGCTGCCATGCTGCCGTCCCCACCGCGAAGGAATCGGTCATGATCTTCACGGCCCTCAGAGCAATTCCCCAAGACCAAGTCGTAAGCCGCACAGGGGTCGATCCCAAACGCGAGCATTCACTACCCTACCGCAACAGAAAAACACCGAGACCCGAAGGACCCAATTGAATCAGAGAAGAAGGCGAGCAGCTCTGTGAGGTTCTCCCAGCTTTTCGCGGGGGCCGAGATGTCCACGATCCAAAGTATCTGGACAGGACGTAAGGGGAGACACAAAGCCCGAAAGGGTGAAAACCATGCGGAACCGAAGCAAGTCAGTGCCTGTCTCCAAACGGAAAACAACACAAGAAGGCTAATCTTCACGACAACCCTTCAAAAGCTAAACCCTACACATCCGCCACAATGACCGATAGAGCATAGCAGTCGACTATCTACCCGAATCCGCACGTCAACAAGGTCATAATCATTATTATCGTCATCATCTTCTTCACTTCTTCGCCCGCGGCGAAAAAGGGGCTCTCGTCTCGCGCACACCTACACTGCATCTTTAATGTCATCAAAATTATCATCATCATCATCATCATCCTCGTCGTCGTTATCGTCATCGGCATCATCATCGTCGCCAACAACATCGCCGCGGCCGTTAGCAACATCCTAATCATTGTTCGACAGGCCCGTTCATCAGGGCCTGCAAAACCATTCCAAAAACCATAGTCCTGCAGTGCGAAGCCTGTCACTGAAGACGCGATCAACGTATCAACTGAAACTTCAGACCTTCAGACCCTGAGCTCTGCCCCTCGAAGCTGCATATCGCGAAACTCCGAAGCATCAACCAGCCGAGGGCCTCTGCGAAAGAAGCTTTGTCTGTCATGCCTGGCCTTGGCATCACAGGCGTTGCAAGCTACGTGTTGCTTCGAAGCCGGCCCGGGCTCTGCACATGCTGATGCGCAGGTGCTTTTCTCACAGCACTTCGTGCGCCGCCCTGTTCTGCCATCCAGTGCCAACGCCAAAATCAGTGCTACTGATGCGCTACTGAAACGAGAATGCGATGAACAAAGTACGCACAGTAGCTAGCTCTGCGCGCGGATCATTAAAAAGCACCGTGCAATGTGTATGCAACCTGAATGCTTTCGAATTGCCGATGTGTGCAGGCTCGGTGCATGTGCTGGAAACGCACTAGTGGGAGTAGTGCAGACGCTAGGGAGGTGCATGCAGCCCACGGTCACGTGAATGTCTTGCAAGCGTGACGTGCACGTCGAATGTTAAGCAAATTGCATCCACCGGTACACACAGTGTAACGTCCCCGGCCCACCTAACCCTCAACATTAAGCTTCAAGCCCCAGCCCTAAACCCTGAAGACCCTAAACCCTAAACCCTTGCTCTTCCCTCTTCATACGCAGTCTGAAGGGTGCGGACGGGACCCTACTTCCTCCACACACACACACACACACAGAGACACACAGACAAACAGACAGACAGACACACACACACACACAGCCACACAGCTCAGGCGCAGAATAACCCCGAAAGGTAGAATCCTTAGTACCTTAAGGGTTCAGGGCTTCGTGTTTAGGGTTATTGTACTTTAAGATCAGACGCTAACTGCCATCCTGAAAGACATAGAGCCACTGGGCGATTGGCTCCGGTGTCACTGTCTGGATCGTCAGGTGGTGGAACTTCCTTCGTTCTGGGAGTGTGGCAGTCGTGTACGTTCTCTGCAGCTCTAGGGTTTAGCATGCCTCGAATTTGAAGCAGACAAACAAAATATGAGAAATCCTATCCCTCCAAAAACAGCACAATCAAACCAAAGAAAGTTGCAAAACCCCAAGAGTCAGAACCTTGAATACCACACATCCGAGCGTCTGCGTCGGCAGGATGTCCCCAGTGTCCGACCTTGCAAAGTGGGGACATCAGCTCTCAACCTGCTTCTATAGGCACATACTTGTCTTACCAAGTTGTACAACGGAAAGTCCAACCGCCACGTCCGTAACCTCTTCTGTTGCACTTTTCCAGAGAGGTCTTCGGCCTTGTGCAAATCTTGCCGTTGGTGCCGTAGGTCTGGATGCCGGGGCGAAGTGCAAGCAGCCGGGTCTCTTAACTGGGGCGTACGATTCCAGATGCAGGTTGACGGTTCAGGGATCAATGGCTCGGCGCTTGGGATTGAAGACTACGGCCACAAGGTTTTGGGCATCGAAGCTCGGGACTCCGTGCTCAGGATGTCAGGGTTCAAATTTTTGAACTTCAGGCTTTACTTAGTTGTTGAGCTCACAAGCCCCAAATGGTGTACACTTTCAGTTTTGAAGTGTGTAATGTTAGCCCAAAAAGTGTAGAGTGTATCCACTCAGCTACTAAGTTTAGGGCTCCAAGTCCTGGGCTGCAGGACTCAGGATCCGAATAGCCCCAAACTGATCCGAGCCCAGTGTCTCCGCATGGTAGGCAATGACTAGGCCCTACTACCTTTGATTATATAAATCCTGCATGACCCATAATAAGGAATATACCAGGATTCCCACAGTTTATGTCCTTAAGGTAATGCAGGTTTTATATCATCAGCAGTATGAAGATCGTACTGTGAACTCAGGGTTGTAGGGCAGGTTCTACAAGACACAGTTCAGGTACATGCATGAATGGTTATGATCCCTGTATCTGATATATGTATGTACATACACATGCACGCATACACACATACAAGCACAGGCATGGTCAAAATCATGTGCACCTCTATCCACATTAAACCGCCATAGATCCCTTATACAACCCTTACAGGGAACCCTGCTATGAAACCGCTATAGATCCCTTATAGAGCCCTTGGAGGGAACCCTATTAGCCCCATTATAGCACCCTTCATATGGGAGTTTCCGAAAATAGGGAATAAGGACCCCAAAATAAGGTACCCCTAATTTCGGAAACTCCTAAACCCTAAACCCCTTTACAGAACCCCTATAGATCCCTTTAAGGAACCCTTAAAAGGATCCCTTTAAGGGTACCATATAGCAGGCACACAGCTGCGACTCCAAGGAGGCTCGGACCTGCGAAGTTTTCTTCGAGGACCCCGGGTCGCCACGCAGCCGCCCCCCGGACGTCTTCTAGGTTCCTGGGTAGCCTCTTCATAATAATAAAAATAATCATAAATAATAATAACAATAATAATAACAAGGATACCCGTTTTCCTACTTTTCTGTTAAACCCTAAACCATAAGGGTACCCTGAGCTGAAAAGGGGCAGAAGGGCACTACTCAGGAACCGAGTCTTCTGCTGCTGCAGCGGAAGGCAGCCTTCGGCTGACCTCGCTCGTAGAAAGCATACACATACACAGATGGGTATCTTTGCATATAGTAGGTAAGTATACATACATATGTATATATATATATATGTATATACTTATATACATATCGGTCTACGAGACTATATACAAATTTATACAGACAGGTAAGCTAGATATGGACATTGTATATGTATATACATATAGGTACTTCCTTAAGTAGGATTTACAACTGAATATGAACTGCACGAGACAAACTCATTCAAGATGAGGAAGTATGAAAGTATAAAGTGACTCAACTCGCTGACCAAACTAACCATCATGTAACATGAGAAAAATCTACGGTGCAACATAACAACAATACGATATCCTAGCATCATCAGTCACTACTACCGTCTTCCTGTAGCAGACCGCAAAGAGCGGAAGCACCATAGAGGTTCATAGCAGTCAACATTCTTCACAAAGCCTGTACTGTCCAAGCTGACAGGGAAGGCTCAAATTAAAACACTGCAACACCGTCTTTAAATGTCGCGCTCCAGTTGGGAAGCATGCTCCGCATGCAACCCTGTGGATGCAGACCCTAACTCTACGACGGCACAAGAAGCATGGATTCATATCTAGCCTTGGGCATCAAGTACCCGTAAGTCTATCGAGTCATCAGCTTGATCTTTATGGAGTTGTCAAACTTCGGCATGGAACGGAGTCCGGCACACCGGGCAGGTCGTGTTGCCAGTACCCACTGACCCAGAGACAGACCACCGTGCGATACATGGTTCATGGAACATGTGACCACAGGGAAGAAAGGCGACCTGACTGTCAGCATGGAAGTCGTCCAAGCAGCATGCACAGGGCTGCGTGTCGGCCTGGGTACGAGGAACGGCCTGCTTGTGCTCTGGCTGACCCACCTTGGACCAGTTCACCTCGGTCCCGTTCACAAGAATGCGGTGGAACTCAAGCATTCGCGGCTCGGGTGAAGTGATCTTGCCGGAAGCCCAAACTCTGCAAGCTTCGGATATGCCGCACTTCTCTGTCTCCAGATCCAACGGATCCGGTTGCGGTGCTGTTGCCAATGAAATCACATCTCGTTCTTGCAATCGGCTCAGGTAGCATTGTAAGCATACCACCAGCTTCGACACCAAGCACAGCGAAATGAAGAACAGCGAAATCAAGGAGGGGAAGCTAAACTCCATGCCTGGGGCTATTCTGCGAACACTGCATGAGCAGAAAATCAGCTTCAGCACGAGGGTGTGAGGAAGACAAACACGACGAGGACAAGGACCAAGACCAGAACCGCGACCACCACGACTATAAATAATGGAGAGGAATCGTATATAGGTTATTATATAGTATATTTAATATGATAACCTCCATATGATTTCTCTCCATGATTTATGGGACGAGGACAACCCAACACCACCCCCACCATCACCAGAGCCACGACCTCTACGAGCGGCAGCTTCTCCGCTACACATTGCATTTAGGATTTAGGGGTTTTCGGGTTTCGGGGTTAGGGTTTAGGGCATGGAGAACAGGAGCTGGGGGAATTCAACAGCTTAGTGACAACGGAGGGGACGTGCGTCTGCTCCGGTTCACAGCAACTTCAGCGAACAGGGTCTGCCACGGCATCTGCGAAAGAGGTCTGCTACAACGATAAGACCCAAGTTTGTATTGACACTTCGTGACACAGCACTGAACACACCTGCTTCCCTTCGCATCGCCGCAGGTCGAACTCATAGCTCATGTACTTCTGCTGCAGTTTCACCTGTAGGGCACTGCCCCGGCAAGGAACATGCGGAGCGTGGCGATCCCGTGACGCATAACTTCACGAACAAACTCCGAGGGACTCAGAACTCTTCACCAGCTCCAACTGTCTGCCCGCCCCGCCAACCTTGTCTTCGCCCTCGCCTCCACTGACAGGGGCAGAAAAGAACAAAATTGGAACTGTTCTTGGCAGATTGCTGGGGTTTCAGTTCACAGATGATCCCGGAATGTCGGATTGCTGCATTCACCATCCCTCCCAGCCTATAAGGTTCAAGGAGAAGGACGCCGGCTGTTTCGCGAAGGACTTGCTCAAAGACTCAGCGGCAAAACTGTAGCCCCTATGCTATACCTATATCTATATCTTTATAGGTATGGTACAGCAAAGCTCAACACAACAATCCCATAAATTAGGTTCTGGCGCTCAATCTAGTTCCAACAGCCTCCCTACAACTTGCAGCAGGCAGGTTGCCTGATTTATGTTTAGGGCCCATTAGGGGTTTAGGCTGGCTGATCGCTACTACCGCCATGGACAAACAGCTCCGCTGCGCAATAAATAGCTAGCGGCCGTTCGAAAGGGATCCACTCAGTCTGGAAACTAGCTGTTGAAACTTCACCTTAAAGAAACCGCATGCCCGACGTCCAACTTTCTGTCAACACTTTCGACATTCAATACTGTGGCTGCTATGTCTAGCAGAGTATCAGTATGACGAGACTGGTCGCGAAAACTGCCACTGTCTGCTGTTGCTTTGGGGTTCTTGTGACATGTTGTGGTCTGCTGCTTGATACTATGTCAATATTACATCTGACAGTATACTACATATTAACACACATTCTACAAGGGCTACTATAAGGAAGCTACAAGGATACTATGGTATAGGGGCCTTAGCAATTACCTATATGATTTCATCTAAGTCCATAAAGCAACTGAGAAAGAAACTCTGGCTAAGTCAGCCCGGGGAAGGCCGGGCGGGTTCGTCCAGGCACCGGCGATGTGCAGGGGTCGGGGTGTAGCCAACGATATACTGTAATTCTATATGTTATGTTAATATATTTAAGAGTATATTATATTCATTAAATTGTTACATTAAACAAAATTGAATATTGTATATTAAACAAACAACCTCAATTATACTATATAGTATAATACAATAAGGAGCCCATGGCATTGCAAGCTGCTTTCAACAAACCCCCGAGACTGAAGGGAAGCAGTACCTCTGCGGCGAAACGCGCTCAGCTCTGCTCGCGTGGCCCCAAAAACGTCTAAGATAATGAAGACATATAATTATATATAATTATATATATATATATATATATATATATATATTATATATATATATATATATATGTATAGATATTTTTTCGTTGGAGCAATGACTTTCATCCGATGCTTTCACAACCTCAAGTCCTGTCCCAACGCTTCGAGAAATCCCCCCGAGCCCAGGCAGTGACGTTTATCACCGATTTTCGGCCCACCCTGCAGGTCAGTCGGAAGCTGGGGAAGAGCTAGATTGCACCGTGGTTGCCAGAGATTGCTTTCGGCGTGCATTCGGGGATTCAGGAGCTTCGGATTCAGGATGGGGCCGCCGATCGGGTGCAGGGTTTGCACAAGAGCCCCGCCGAAACCGAGGCTACAGTAAGGTGCCACCACCACGATCCAAAAGAACTCGAGGGGAACCGTCCTGAATTAGGCCAACCGGTTAAGGGTGTAGACTGCTTCGACAGCAGACTCCCGAGATGCAAATTACCAGAGATTTCCAACAGCATGTTGCACTCACCAATAGAACGTGGCTCCAGGGCTTGCGGGGCTTGCCATCCTTCCCAGCCCGACCTGGGAAAGGGGATCTGGAAATACTCGATAAGCGTCAGGGCTCCAGTGCCCTGCGGATCTTGCCTCAGAGTGCAAGTGGGGGATTGAGCCTGGATCTTGACATTCTATATAGGCATGCACGCAGATTGGCCGCGGAAGGTTCCGGAGAGAAAGCCAGAAACACCTGACCCCGCTCAAGAGTCTGCGTAGGATTTTGCGAGTCCTGAACTCTGGGCTTACAAGAAGATTACCATGAATCAACACCAGCGGCGGGGTGGTCATCAGCGGGATGTGCAAGACCTTCACTTCCGCCCCCTGGCAGCGCGGCAGACTTCATGTGGATTTGAAATCACTGTCTAATATAAGGGCCTCAACCATTGGAATAGGGTCTGGGGGTATATTATGCTATAATCATGATAAGGAACCCCCAAAACCCTACTCTGATTATGAAGGCCCCTACAGTGGATATCGCCTCCGCCGGTTCGTTCGGCTCCGGCGTCTGATGGCTGTTTGTTCGAATGCAGTAGATTCGTACATCACATGGGGGGCAGTCCTCGTCTCTGATCCCGAAGCCACGTAAAAAAAAGCGCTACTGTACTGTTGGCTTAGGGTTTAGGGCTTAGGGCATATTGTCGAAAACAGCCATGGAAAACATCATAAACTTCGCAGCAGGCAGATACACCACCAACCATCGCCGGCTGCCCCTTTCCAAGCAATGAAACCGGGTTTAACCGGAAGACTAGCTGCGTCGGATCTGTGCCAAAAGTGGCTTAGGGTCTCCAGCCCTCCAGAACAAACCCTAAACCCTCAACCGCAAACCCTAAACCCTCAACCCTAAACCCTAAACATTAAACCCTAAACCTAAACATTAAACCCTAAACCCTAAACCCAAGCTTCTGACTATTTGAATGCTCGGTCCCAGCTGCCACGGCCGGGTCTCCCGCCAGCAACAGCTCCTTTTGGAATCTGCGGCTTGCAGGCAGCTGGTGATAGTGGGGTCAGGATGATGGCTGGCGATGATGATGGTGCTCAAGATTTGAGGTGCTGGCACGGTAGTGGTATTGACAAGCAGGCAACTGCCACACACTGCTGCTATCATTACCTCTACCACTAGCACGATGCTGCTGAAACCCCTGCTGCTCCTGTCATGCTCCTGCTGCGGCTGCTGTGCCGGACAGTGCTGCTGCTAGGTGCTAGTGCCGCTGCCACTGCCGCTGCCACTGCCGCTGCTGCCGCTGACGACCACGACGACCATGACGACGACAACAACGACGACTACGACCACGATTACTAGTACGACTATGACGACGTCAGTAACTACTACCACGACGACGCCGACGACTACGACCAGGACCGACATGTCTTCTACCCTTACCTTTGGATAGTAAGGAATGGAGGAATGGGGTGGAATTATAACCACTATTACTACCATTCTTCCATTCCCTACTAACCAAAAGTAAGTATCACCATCAGCACCATCAGATGACCATGGCCTTGAGCTTCGTTCATTCTGCCTCAAGCTCTGCAGGTCGAAGAAACGCTCCCGTCGAGAGACGTCCACCGAGCCCAACCACGGAACCCGAGCTCGAAAATCTTCGGATTCGGGGCTCAGGGGCCTAAAGCCTCCCTACATTTAGGGTTTAGAGTTTAGGGTTTTGGGTTTAGGATTTAGGGTTTAGGGTTTAGAGTTTAGGGTTCAGGGTTTAGGGTTTTGGGTTTAGGGTTTAGGGGTACAGCCCGAAGCTCAAAATAGAAGCAGCACTCCCGGTCCTTCGTCCTCGTCTCTGTGACTGGTGGCACCGAGAACTTTTGGAAGACTTGCCAGCCCTGGGTCCGGAGTCCAGACTTTCAAAAGTATTATAGTAGTACTATAGTAGTATTATAATAGTACTATAATAGTATTATAGTAGTATTATAGTTGTATTATAGTTGTATTATAGTATTATTATAGTATTCGAATTCTATTCTCCAACTATTCCATGAAATGTTAATACACAGAGACAGAATGCAACTGAAAGCAGCAGAGCAGCCGTCAGTTCACTACTGCCACATCGAACTCTGGCATGCAGCGACAGGGCTAGGGAGTGCCAGACAGAACCCATGCCGTCTTCCCAGCATCTTCCCAGTCTGGGTAACCGGCTTCTGGCAACTTCATCTGCCAAACGCGGGGAGGAGGCGCCTCCTGGCGTCTCAACAGTTCTTGAGATCAGAGGTCCAAGCAAAAGACTATGGGTTTAGGGTTTAGAATTCAGTCGCTGATCTGCAGAACTTTCTATTATTCGCCACATCTTCTCAATGGACAGCACGAGTCATGGATTCAAGGCCACCGTCTGTCATAGCAAAGTTCTTTGGAATCTTCACGCAGATGCAGATCTTGGAAGACTGTTGCCCAGGACTCTACCCTGGTTGCATCCAGCTAACACACCACCACCATCACGACTGTTGCCACTACCACATACTATTTGTAGTCGTAGTCTGCTCTTGTCACATATGTTTCGAAACCTTCCTAAACCCTAAACCCTAAACTCTCGAAGCCGCCACTTTGAGATCCTCCGCACGGACGGGTTCGGGCACCCCGGCCAAAGGGAGTGCCAGGGAGGTGGCGAGGCCAGCAAGGCCCTCCTTACAGCTTTTCGCAGCCTTTCGTGACCACCCCTACTCTTAATTACCATTACTACTATTATTGATACTATCACTATTGTTTCTATTATTACAAAAATATTATTACTATTTTTACTACTATTATCGGTACTCTATTATTATTCTTTTATACTATTGTTAGAATCTGCTGTCCAAGTTATAATTTGCACAGTGATATTGAACGCTGGCGAGGTTCAGGACGAGCTTTGGTAGCTGCAAAACGGCTGTGTTTGCAGCTTGTGTGTAATCTGTTGCGCGTGCTACTCCCGACGCTGCTCCAGCTGTAGCGTTGCAAATGCTACTTCCCTTGTCTTTCATTGAAGTTTTTGTTGCGAGTCGTGCTGCTGCGATGAGGGTGCATTGGGGAGCTCCGAGCTTGTACTCCGGATTGAATGTTCGAGGTGCATGACTCTGGAATTAGTTTAGGCGGTTTGTTTGTGCCTGGCTGCTGCTCCAGAGATTGTATACTATCTCGGAAAGCATGTAGTTAGACCTCCTCTTGCAATGCAATAGGTCTCAGGGCCTTTATGTGTGGCTCAACCGACTGTCTAAGCGAAGCTGAGTGGAAAGACTCCAAAAATTTAGACACCTCAAGTTCGAGTCAGAATGCCTCACGACTGAGGATGCTCAAGCTAGCAAGAAAAACCTCAAGATCCTCCGACCTGTGGATCTGGGCTCTGAAACCTTACTATGAAGATGCTCTCGAGGGCGAAATTACTGCAGCAACACTCCCAGCAATAGTCATACCATCACTGCTGAGACTGAAGTTCACCTACTATGAACCTTTTATCATTATTATTACCATTATTGCTCGTATTACCATTAAGATTACTACTGACTACTATTACCGTTATTACTATACTATTCTTACTATTACTATTGGTAGTGTTACTATTAGTACTATAACTATAACTATTACTATAACTGTTAGTGTTATTCCCTAAATCCTAAACCCTAAACCCTAAACCGTGTTTATGCTTTTTATTCAGATCTCCAGCCGAGGCACTCTTCGACTCGGCCCCGGAGCAAGAACGCCCTCAGGTTTTATCATAGGGATCCTTAGGGGTGTAGGGGGAGGGGGGATAGGGATCCTTAGGGTTTAGGGTTTAGGGTTTAGGGGGAGGGGGGGTAGGGGGCCTTAAGGCCCATAATAAGGACTAATAAGGCCTATTTAAAGAAATATAGTCCCCTACACCCCTAAGGATCCCTATGATTTTAGCAGCAGCCCAGGGAAGAGAGGACTGTCTTATATGATCTTCATATTATAGCATAATATCTTACACTAAGTTATATTATAGCATAGTGTCTTTTTGCTTCTATATTATAACATCATACCACATATTTTCTGATATTATCGCATAGTACCTGATATTGTTTTATAGTAGTGTCTATTAGTTTTTAATATTTGATGTTACGGTATAAGTATACTAAATGATGCTACAGTGTAGACACTCCGGTTTTGTGCACAGGGCCAGCTCATGACGCTACAGTAGTGCCTGCATCAAGGGTCTGCTAAGCATAAAGCATGCACCTCTAAGTTCTCCTCAAGAACCGCATAAGACTTGCACCCTCCCAGCATGAGAGTTTCCGAAAATAGGGGACCCTAACATTGTACCCTAAATAGTAGGCTCCTTATTATAAGGACCCCAGAATAAGGTACCCCTAATTTTCGGCAAACCCCCACCACGGTGAAAGTCGCACCTCTTTGGTGCGCACCATCGCCGAGTCCCCCGGTGAGCCGAGGAAGGCTGCCTTCAAATGCTTGGAACCTGCGAGTTTGCTCCAACTTTTGGGGGAGCTCGGGGCTTGCAGGGTGTACCCTAAGGCCCCAAAGTAGTTCCTTTTTGGGGGTTCGTATATAGAATCCTATAAGGTAATCCCAAAACAGGAACTACTTTGGGGCCTATGGGTAGGGTTTAGTTCTTCGACAGCTCTTCTATCCAATCTAGTGAAGGCGGCGCTGGCAGTGGTTTCGGATTTAGCTGCTCCAGTGATCAGGAAGCTGTGAAAGGGCATTCGATGCGCAGGCCATGGGTGGATCCTTTAGTGCTGCTAGGCAGCCACACCCACTCGAGCTTAATGAAGTCATTGGCAAAGCGAGAAAGGAGGAATTGCTCGAAAGAGCTTTCGGACAGTGTTGAATCCGGCGCTCGCAATAAACATGAATGAAACCAACGGTTCTGCTAAAAATCTACTAAATACCAATTTAACCTCTACATAATACTAGTTCTAACATAACATACTCCGAGAACCTATTCCTAGTCTTGAAAGCACTTATGTTTTCGAAAGCAAGACATAGAAAGCTTTGCCGAGTTGCGGCTTGAACCATACCCCAAAGCTTAAGGTTAGAGTTCCAGGTCAAGGGTGTAGGATTAGAATTACCTCGACCTACTAAACCCTACTTGTTTGTAGGTTCTTATTATAAACCCTAATATGTGATTTATAGGGACCCTACAAAAAGTAGGTTTTGGTAGGTTAAGGTAGGTCATCTTGACGGCTCGCCGACTTGACTTGAAGCCTCCGCAGTTCTCGTGAGCCTGGAAGCCCAAGGTAAAGAGCCAGGAGAGTGCCGGCCACTGCTGCAACCTCGTGCTTAGTTGCACTTGTGGTTTGGGTTCCTTTGGGTTCCTAATGCAAGTAATTCCTGATGAGAACGAAGAGTGGAAGCCTCGCAGGCACCTGTGGCCGGGTCTCTAAGTCGGCATTAGGAGAAATTCGGAGCCAACCTTTTGCTTGAGCACCCTGTTCTTAAGCCCCAGCTTGTGCTATGGCCCGGGCCAGTCGTAGGGGACGAGGACTTCGTTGTCGCGCAGGCCCCATTGCCGCAGTGGAGAAACGCGGCATGGTTGTGTGAGGCTGTTGGGATCCAGTTGCGGCTGTGAGTGAAGACAAGTGAGGACTCTCTGCACGAAGTGCTAGCGGAGCTGCCGGCTTGAGATGGATGGATGGTCCGACACGATGTGAAGCCGCACGTGTGTTCTTGGAAGCTTGCTGCAGCATCCTGCTTGAGACGCGTGGGCTTGGGAGCCGCTGCACATTCGCAGAACTTGCCCACACCAAGAAACCTCAGACACGATCGATCTTACGGCTGGGACCTGGTCGGGTTGCAGCTGTGAGCTCTGCAGTTCAAATCGATGTCGGTATTCTGCCTGCTGAGCCTTTGCCAGGGCAGCTGTCGCCACGTCGTATGCCTCATCGGAAGCCTGGCAGGGCCAAGTTGCGGTTCGGCCAGGGCTGAGCACATCGTTCTGATCTCGTCGTGGGCGCATATATATATATATATATGCATACATACATACACCTCTACGCATATACACATATACACGTATACAAATATACGCATATACAGATACATATACAGATACATACATACATACATACATACATACATATATACATATACACTTATATGCATGAATACATATATACATATATACATATATACATATATACATATATACATATATATATATATACGTATATACATATATACATATATACATATATACATACATATATATATATATATATATATTAACTACTCTATACATACACAATTGTATATACATATATACATCTGCAGTCTCTGCCTCGTTCGCCAGCTTGGCATCCACCTCCTTCCAGAGGCCCTCCTTTGGCTGCACTTTGCTAACCTGCGGGAAGACATGCCCAGCAGTACTGAAGGAAGTTCGGCCTTTGGGGCTCTGGCTCTGGGGTTTTAAGGATGTGAAACTGCTTGGGATGCAATGCAAAGATTGAAAGCAACGAGATACATCAAGACCATCTTTGAGTTGACACCCATAATGAAGCCGAAACCCTAGACCCTAAACCCCTAAACCCTAGACCCTTACTCTAGCAAGATCGAGTCTTTAGCATGTAAGTGCAGCAGCCTGTGCGGACGGGAGCTTCAGCGTTTCCGCCCTGGGCTGGCAAGCAAGCATGGGCCGACAACCCGTGCAAGACCACTCTATATAATATATATATATATATATATAGATATGTATATACACATGTTAATCCTGAAATCTATATAACAAAAGAAACACAGATATATATATATATATACATATACATATACATATGTATTTTGTGACATTTGTAAGTGTGTATCTTTATATATATACATAGTGAATTTATGTCTATAAGCCTACATATACACACATCTATGTATATGTTTACGTACTCCTCTGTGCGAGAGCTGTCTGCAGACTGTTCAGATTCTACCAGAGTGGACAGACGGCTTAACGGCCGAGGGAAGGATTTGTCAGGATCTGAAGGATTACAATTTGGGTTTGAGACTGCCGGTAAGCAAGAGTGTTGATTCGAGAATAAGGTCTTTAACGCTAAGCAGCGTTCAAGATCTACTGCCTGAAACTCAAAACTGATACTGACGAAGGGAACTGGTCGTCAGCGCGGCAGTATACAGAGATGCATGCATGCATGCATGTATGTATGTATGTAGATTATGTATGTGTATATGCGTCTCGAGCTATCTAGATATCTAACTAACTATCTAACTATCGAACTATCTGTCTACTTGTCTATCTACCAACCTATCTACCTATCTATCTGTCAGTCTGTCTTTCTGACTACCTACCTATCTGCCGATCAATCTGTCTACATAAATACTGACTTGGCTGGCTAGCTAGTCAGCTCGCTACTATGTATCTACCTCTCATTTGATCTATCAATCTACCGATCTCTCGATCTGTCTCGGTGTGTGCGCATGTGTGCCAGGACAGTCTGGGCAGTTAAACCAAGCTAGATTAGCAAACAGCAAACACATGGTCAGCAGAGGAGTTACAAACTTTGAGATGTAATCCTATTAATACATGGATGCTGTATTCAGTAGTTGCAGCCTTCGAACCAGTATTTCTGCGACCTGTCGACACAAACTTCAACAACCTGTCCCACTTGCGTGCTAAAATCTGGGCGTGAAGAATTACCCAACATGATAAGCATGACAGAACAAACCTTGGCTTAGGCTGTCGTGAAACGAATGGTGTCCAACACCACAGTTCCGACTGAACACTGCTTCACAAGAAGCCTACGAAAGTGACAAGAAAATGGGACAAGTAGGGTCCACTCTGGACGCGAATACACGTACTTGTTGCAGAATCGACTGTCATTTCCCGGCTCCACGAAGGCAAGCAACCCCACTTCCAAGAAGCATATAAGCCCACAAAGCATGCAAGCCCGCGGGTGGAGCTCTAAAATACTCAGGCATCAAGAGGAAGCAGCACAAGCAAATCCCCAATATACTGCGTTGCAGACAGGCCATTTCAACATCAAGCGGCACCGCTTGCAGCGCATCTCCTGGACCCCGCCTGTCACAAAGGCCAAGCCAACAGATTGTGGCGTTTTTTCGACAGACTTTCGCCGGCACTTCGGAAACCTTCTTCACTGGAGCAGTAACTTATCCAACCATTGGCGGGCCAATTTGGAGGCTTCATGCATATCAAGTTGATGCTGTTGTCGCATGACCAGGGTTCTCGTGCCGTGATCGTCCTGCTGAGCTGCGTGCCTCCATGGGTGCATGGACAGGAGAAAGGCCTTCAAAAAGTGTTTTGCATTGCTTCAAGCAGCAAACAAAAATGCAAGCACGACACTTCTACAGGAATGAGAAGAGACGTCTGTTGCCGCTGATCGTGTTGGCCAGGACTCATCGTCTCAAAGACATAAAGACGAAGCGCCTCGAATCTATCACTTGGCCGCACCATGTTTGCGCCTTAGAGCCGGTTCATGACATCTGCAGCCATGGAAATTGCCTGAATTGCCTGGACATTAAGATTCCCAAGCCACAACAATGGTATAGCGGCCTTACTAATCAGAACAGACTACTTTGGGGCCCTCTATACTATAGTTATGATAAGGAACCCCCGAATTAGTATTGGTAATGATTCAGGCCCTTCTAGGAACAAGCAGCGTGCTTGAGATCCGCACCGCTCGGCTCTAAAGCGCAGTCGCCACAATCCGCTTTGCGCAGCTGACTGCGGCTGCAATGGGAGCCCAGATGAGCAACGCATGCACGCATGATACAGATGCAAAAGTGTGCAAACTGCGACGGTCCGAAGCTATCGAGAGGGGATTTAGGGGATGATCTGCCAGTTCAGCCCAACTTGCACCTCTCCAAACCCAAAATACAACAAGAAACACAACTGCTGTCGAGCTTGAACCCTTGGTCTCACAGCAATCTAACATGCGGCTCAGCCTCCACCGTAGCAGCGACAAGCAACAGCAGCACATGCAAGTGTGTCTCACAGAAGGAATCATCTCAGGTCGTGTAGAAGAAGACAAGAGGAGGCGTCTTGCCATCCCTTCGTCATCACTACCATTCTTTGCAGTCACCAAGAGGATCTGCCGGGGGATCGCTGGTGCGCTGAAGTGTCCATCCTTGATTGCTGTACTCAGCGTCACTGCAGTTCTTGACCCCAACAGGTTGGTGATGCTCGAAAGAGTTGCCATCGCCCAGGACAGTCAAGCACCATTTGCCAGTAGTTTGCTGCTCGTCGCTGATGAGCTCTATGGTACCGATGCCCGGATGTTCCCCAGAACTGATGTACGACCACTGCTGCTGCTGTGATTTAGAATTCGAGCATACTCTGATGCTGACTTTTGCTTCAACAGCGGTCAAACAGTGGTCATCGCCACGATGGCCTTTTCCACACCATGGCTTGACCCCACCGTCCTCGCGCAGGTGTTGGGGCAGAAGCCGCACATGGCATCCATAGTAAACGAGTTTTAATACTTGAGGCAGGGTGAGCTAGAGTTAGAGAGAGATGCATGGTGGCATGGATGTAATGCACATGTCATACAGGGCTAGCCCGCAGCACTCAAAATATCAGCCCCCCGAACATGAAAAGCAGATACCCGCGCACGTTGACAACACGTCTTCAGAACACCATCATTCGGAGACTACCCCCAGAACGATGCGCCGTCCTCGAAGAACCACACTTGATTGCGAAGAGCCTCGTCATTGCTTTGCTGGCAGGGAGCGAGCTCTAGTTGACCACTCAACAGTCCGTTGTGTAGATCGATGCACCACTTCTTGTCGGAAGCGAGACGCACCTGGCGTCGGCCATGTGCATTATGCATATCACCATCACATATAAGGGCTAAGTGGTCACCGAGATGCCCTCCCGGCAAAGTGTCACCAGGGCCTGGAGGATTATACAGATATTCCAGTGACGTCTTTCCAGTTGTCCTCACACTGCACCCGAATGGGTGCGAGCCATTTCGGATGCGTCGAGGATACTGCCGACTCCAGGCCCATGCGGCTTGCTTGCACTCCAGAAAGCCAAGAGCGTAGAAGCTCCTATCAGAGTCAAGGCAGCCGAGCCTTGTTAAGGGCCACGTACTCATCGCACTGCGAATATTTGCCCGGAAGACTGGCGCCTTATCTGTGAAGTCTCTCATCTTCTGCGTGTGCTGACACACCTCGGCATGACGCACACTTGAACAACTGGCAGGGGGAATTCACGACGGGTCCGCACCCCCACCACATGCTACGTACACAGACATATTATTCTACATACGTACAAACCTATGGATGTACGTATGTATGTATCTGCAGCACATACAGTACACATACACGTCTGCGAAACTTACAGACAAAGGTTGCACCCAGCATAGATATGGTACTATATATAGTACAAACACACCCAGATGTCGTTCTCTCCGCCTCCTTGGCGGGAAAGTCGGGCATGGAAAGGGCAGCCGTCTCAATGGCCCCTTTCACGTCCGAGCTGTACATCTGCCCGAGCTGGGCCACCTGAGAACAAACATCGAAACAGCCGAGTTTCAGCCGGTTCGAGCGCGATCTTCCTTTGGCGCATCATCTTTAAATGTGCAGTCTTACAGGTCACCGTATCCTTTCGTTCGACCTGGGCCTCCCCCACTGTATCTGCTATGGAAGGGTGGGAACGATCGCGAGGCCAAGTAACAACAATTCGAGGTGTGCATCCGGAAAGCTAGACCGCAACTGCCCGGCTGGGAGAATGTAATCAGTCAACTCCAAACTGAGCTGACGGCCCATTGTTGGCAGATGGCCTGCGAGCATCGCGCAACTCCCGACTCTCTTTCAGCATGGTGTGACATGCGCCGCTAGCTGACGGTGAAAACTAGGAACGAGCATTCTGTTCAACCCACAACGAGCCCGAAGACAGATAGCTAGATGCATATAGATTGACAGAAGACACGTCACATGCAGCTCCCACAGAGCATATCTGAAACAAGGCCCCTTGTTCGAACTCGGACGTTCCTAGCCAGCCTTCTGGAGCGATCTGTCTTTGGCACACAAAGGAACAAACACCCCCCAGGGCTCATCGTTGCTGGACAGCTTGATGGTAAGAGCATGGCTGGGATGAGGTTCCTCTTCAGACCCGTACACATATGATCATATGATGCACATGTGCAGGTCTGGAGAAAGAGAGAGCGAGAGAGAGAGAGAGAGAGAGACAGACAGACAGACAGACAGACAGACAGACAGACAGAGACAGAGAGAGAGAGAGAGGCTAAACGAAGAAAGAGAAGATCATGCAGTAGCCGCCTACTTATCAGCGCCCCTCTCTGTGTACCCCTGTCGTTCTGTGTACTTACGCCGTGACTGCGACTACTTGCAGCGCCTCGCTCGTCGGTATGTCGTCCACCCAGGTCCAAATTCCGAAGCAGCGCGCCAGGGTTCGGTCAATCACCTGCTACTAGTACTACAACAACTGGTGGAGTAGCGAAACAGAGGCAGTAGCAGTCGTCGTCGTTGTTGGTGGTCGTCGTAGTAGTGTACTAGAACGTACTAGTAGTAGTAGTAGTAGTAGTAGTAGTAGTAGTAGTAGTAGTAGTAGTAGTAGTAGTCGTAGTAGTAGTAGTAGTAGTAGTAGTAGCAGTAGTAGTAGTAGTAGTAGTAGTAGTAGTAGTAGTAGCAGTAGTAGAAGTAGTAGTAGTAGTAGTAGTAGTAGTAGTAGCAGCAGCAGTGGCAGTGGCAGTGACAGTGGCAGTGGCAGTGGCAGTGGCCGTGGCCGTGGCCGTGGCCGTGGCCGCGGCGGCGGCGGCGGCGGCGGCGGCGGCGGCGGTGGTGGTGGTGGTCGTGGTCATGGTCGTGGTCGTCTTAGCAGCAGCAGCAGCAGCAGCAGCAGCAGTTGTTATTGTAGTAGCAGCAGCAACAACCACAGCAACTCGGTATTGTTGGAGAAGTGGTCTGCGGTGGTGTCGGCGGCGGCGGTGGTGGTAAAATGTCGTACTAGTGGCAGGGGTCGTAGCAGCAGCAGCGGCGGCAGTGGGAGAATGTAGTGCAGCAGGAGGTTCTTCACCAAGCTTCACAGCGGAGGTTGAAGTCGCTTCAGTCAACAGGGTGTGCAGAGGACACATAAATCCGAGCCAACACATGGTGTTTGCCGAGGCCTAAGTCCAACAAAAATCTATCAAGCCAAAGCTCTCTACAAACCCTGCCACGTCAACCCAAAGCCACAAAATCCTAAACCCAAAGCCCTAAAACTCTAAACCCTACACCCTAAACCCAAAAAGCCCTAAAATCCCAGAAACCGAGATCCAGCCTTCCAGTTTGAGTTCTTCACCGAGTCCAAGCTCTGGCGCCAGCCGTCGGGACCCAAGCCCGAAGAACCGCCAGTCCACACCTTCCCAGAACCAGAAAGTAGATCCCCTAACTTGGGGCCCTATACTACTAGGGGTACTTTATAGGAACCCCCATTCAGGGATCTACTTTTTGGTACACGTTCCCAGAGACTCCAATAATATGATTTATGGTATATTCCTTAATTAAGGGACATTGGAGTCTCTGGGTTCGGGTTTGGGGGGACTTAGGAAGCTAAGGGCTTAAGGCTTTCGGGTTTAGGGCCTCCGGGATTGAGGTTTGGGGCAGCTTGAGGGGCCTGGGGTTTAGGATCGTGTCGCAGCGTGGCTCTGGACGAACAGGCTTTGGCATTAGGCTCATTTTGGGTAGCAAGACCCGGCAGACCTGCTCCACTCTGATGTGCGACTGGCTGGCTGCCTCCTGCTCGAGCTTCCGCGAGCCACTTGAACTGTGATTGTGCGAGGAGTTCCCATCCTGATGCTCGCCTGAATAGCCTCCACCCAGCTGGAAAGCCTCGAAAATCGCAGATGCACCGACACCACCGCCACGAGAATGTGCCGAAACCTTATCAATGGCCGTGCTCAGCATTTCTGAGACATCATCCTTGTCTGTTGCCTCTCTGCTCGTATAGACGGCCGTGATCGTCCAGCGCCCACCCAGGACCACTTGAGGGCAGACATGCGAGCCATAAGTCCAGAGGAGCTCCTGTATCCTATCGAAGTTGGAACAGTTTGTGCTTTCAGACCGGCACAACTCCTGACTGATGGCAGCAACAGCCGTGCTGAAGCTCCTGGAAGGCACCAGCATGAAGTGATCAAGATTAATTCGAGCTTTGGGCTCTTCGTAGCACTTCATTTTCTGACGCGATTTCACCTTGTCCCGCTCCTGATGCCCATGCTCGCTTTTGTTTTCTGTAGCATCGCCCTTCGACTCTGTACCCGACCAATGGCCATTGGTATTGACCGAAAAGATCAGAGGCATCCCACCACCTGCTGAGATCGAATGCTGCCAGCTCTTCGAGGTAAAGGAGCTTGTACCAAAAGCTTCCAGCCTCGTGGAAACTTTTTGCATGTCGGAGGCGAACTCCGTTTCAACTGTGAACTCCATGGCAATGTCCGGTGCGACCTGCAGTGCTCGTTGCAGCTGCTCATCATCCATGCTAGCCAGCTCAGGAGACAGGGACACCACCTGGGAGTTTCCGAAAATAGGGACCCTAACATAGGACCCCAAATAGTAGGGTCCTGATTATGTAAGTTACCAAAACAAGGTACTCCTCATTGTCGGAAACTCCCACCTGGGAGTGCTGGCCTAACGCCATTTCGTCCGCAAGGAGGTCAACTCCTCGAAAGACACCCATGTGATGCAACAGTCCCACCATCGGCAAGCTCATTCCACCCAAGTAGCCAGAAGTCTCCGTGAGTTGGGACATCTGTTTCCGGATGTCTTCCATGCTTGTGTCGGATGCATCCAGCTGCAGCTTCTCGAGCCTCTGGGCCATCTCTTGCTGCATCTTCTTTGCCTCTTCTTCTAGTCCTGCTCGGCTTGCCTTAGCTTCGGAGCGTGCTGCTTCGTAGAAGGCCTTCATCTGCTCCCTGGTGTCCTTGTTCTTCGACTCGAGTTCCTGCAGCTTCTTGCTGAGTTCCTCCTTCCTCGCTTTCTCGCCTTCCTTGCTGGATTGCTTCTTCCCTTGCTCAATCCATGCCTTCTGCTGCAAGCGAGAGGTCAGCTGCACGTCTTTTGCTGTCGGCATCAGAAAAGGATTCAATGACATGAGCTGGCTCTGTTCGAAGATCCCATCCCTTCTGAGCTTGTTCAAGAACTGGTAGCGATCGTCGGCACTATCAAAATGTAGTGTGCGTACCCAGCGCAGCAGGTCCGCGTCAAAGCCCTCCTCATGATGCAACGTAACTCTGAGCTCAATTACTTTCTTCATCTCGCCCACCAGCTCAAGTCTTTCCGGCTTCTTTTCTACTCCATCTTGGATCCACACGACACAGCACTCCGTGCGCGTGTCAGGCACCGGGCACTCTCCACACGTGTCGTTCAACTTCAAGACATGTTGCCTTTGCAGATGTTGCGTTGCCGTCGCTAAGGCTTCAGCCACATCCTTTGCTGTGAATGGCTCGCCGATCTTCTCGCTGGCTGTAGCTATCTGAAAGGCATGTTGTTGCTTTTCCGTGGTCGTCGTGGTGGTGGAAGCCCTCGGAACTTGCAGGGCCGCCGAGCACTCCTCTTCATGGGCAACAATACAAATCGGGAGAGAGGCGAGCAGACAGAGGAGCAGCATGGCGGCTTGTGCTTTTGGCTTGTGCAAATGCGGCAACTCGAGCGTCAAAGGTTCCCCGGATGTTGGGCATGCTCATTCAAGGCAGAGTGTTCCTGACATGCCGTGGAAGCATCACGATGCTGATCTCCACAAACATCGGGCATTGACACCGGCACGCGGTTCGGCAACGATGTTTGCCGAGCTCGAAGAAAACCGTTGAGACCGTTACCAACACGTGGAGAGGCATCACGGCCGGCCACCTAAATTTCGATCGGCCGGTCCAACTTGCTGCATACTTGGAGGTTCATGGGTAGTTATAAGTGGGATTATAAGTAGGGTAACTACAAGTCTAACCCATATTTGGGGACTTATAACTCCAATTATAACTACCCATGAACCTCCAAGTAGTGATGCGCTCAAGCCGGAGGAGACTAGCTCTGAAGGTGTCCAGGCTCAAACACAATCCCGGTTGAAACCACCAGAACTCCCGAACTTCCTTATTTTTTCAGCTGCATGCTCAGAGTGCTTCGAAGGCGCCGGCACCTCCTCCACGACCTCTGATCTTTCTCACGTCACCGGTGTAAGATCATGAGGCTTGCAGCTCGTGGTGTAAGGCCGTAAAGCATTCCGGTTTCGGGTACATGTGGCTAATCTTGTTGAGATACCTGTCGGTTTGAGATCCAGAGATGTAAGGGATGCGGCTGTCTCGGCTCGGATCGGTTCTGTGTCGTATGACATGTTATGAAGAGCAAGAGATCCCAGGACTCCCTCCCCTCCTGGACTACATGGGCTGCTCCTCGTTTAAAGCACTTGTCCAGCCGAGGTCCCAGCCCAGGGAGACGCCTCGGATGTTGCCATCCAGACCTGCAGATTCTGCTTTGAATTTCCGGTCTCAAGTTGCCGTGGCCCTTCCTTTAGGGCGAGCTGTGGAGGTTCAACAGTGACGTCGCAGAAGCGAAATGACGAGCACGGAAGGAGCGAGTTGCCTGCTACCCTGTTTTGCGGCCGCTTCGGCCGAAGGCGGGTCTCAGAGTCTATGCTAGGTCACGCAGCCACAACCTCCAGCCAGTTGGCCCCTGACCCTACCGCTGCTAGGCTGCATACAACTCTGAATTTAAGGCAGTCAACATGTGAGAGAGAGGGAGCCAGCAACATCAATCTGCATAAACCTCTACGTCTACGTAATCAAACCTCCTTTGGCCTCATGCCAAGGGGCCGAAGCTCTCCCTCCGAAACCTCTCCCGGGGCTCTCGGAGCGGCCTCCCGTGAGCTCCTCGAAGTCGCGGCGCGCGGGTTTGCCCATGGCACCATCTGCAGGGAACAGGGCACGGGCTGCAGGACATGCAGGCTGAGGCCTAAAGCATGATGTCCGAGGGATGCAGGCATGGACTGATTAAGATGACAGAGCCACCAGCACGACAGATGCTACATGCACACGGGGAGGGAGGGATGCAGGGATGGAGGGATGCGTGCGGGTACTTTAACTTCTGGCACAGAAAACACCTATTCCGAAACTGCTCTGGAACAGTTTGTAATAACTATATTGGGAGTCGGGAGACGTTTCAGAAAGATTCCATACGCGGACTCGTCAATGTAGCAAAACACAACGCGCACGAAAGCCGAAACCGAGGTATGTCGTTGCTTCGGGTTCAAGGCTTCAGTGCAAGTCTGAAGCTTTCCATGCACATGTGATGCCGTCTTGCTTGGGCCAGGGCATACTGCCCTACTATAGGGTCCCTAGTTAGAACAAGGCTTTGGGGCCCATTATACAATGATTATAATAAGGAACCGGCAAAATAGTAGTGGCAATTGCTAAGGCCCCTTATTTTTTTGGCCTTCCGTTAGGCTTGGAGACTCGGGCTAAGCCGTCCCCATCCGTGCCTAGAAGCATCCTCGAGTATGTCACCCCGTCCAGGACGAGCTGAGGGTAACTGCAAGCAAGTTTAGGGTTTAGGGTGAAGGCAGGCTTTGGCAGACTCCCGCCGTCAGCTGCCACAGAAAGCTCCCCGACCAAACATCCCAGGCGCACTCGAGCCAGAATCCAACGTGAGGTATGATGTTGATGCCTCCGGACAGGTTGGGGCACTTGTATAAGGGCCTTTATGATTAGAATAGGGTTTTGGGATATCTTATAATTTGATTCTATTATAAGGAGCCCCGACAATAGTATAGGTAATTATTAAGGCCCCTGCAATATCGGCAGTTGTTCAAGAGCCCTTTTGCAGCACGGCATGAGTTCCGGACCTGAGGCCCCCATCATCTGGTACCTTGCATATCTTCGCACGTGACCGTCCGTGGAGCCCTGATGAGATCTGCAGGAAAGCCAGGCGGCTTGATGAAGGAACCCACCAGCAGGTAGATGATCGCGAAGATGATCACAACTGCGACAAGACTCATACAACAGTCGAGTTGGGCTTGGTTGTCTGTCTCTAGATTCTAGACGGAGCATGCTGACCTAGGAGGACCCCGCCGACCTCTTAAGAGAGCCTGGGCGCTCCCAAACTGGCCGAGGTGCTCTGCCTGGCCGGGATCCAAGCAGTTTAGAAGTTAGGGCTTTGGGGTATCTTTGGGCGGTTGCATTGCAACGGACAGCGAGCCAAGACGGGCCCCAGGCATAGTAGACATCGTTGCTCAGCTCGCCTGGGTTTGGGTCGAGTCAGCGAGGCCTGTAAAAACTGAACTGGGCCAAAATCAATCTGCGCAAGATTTAAGTGGCTGGCTTGGTGTTTACAGCCTAGGGCATACATCCTCGACCTCTACGAGGAACCTTGCAGGGAACAAGTCTACTTAGACTCTGGCGGCTCTGGCAAGTCAGGAAGCCTGAAAGCCTCAAGCCCTTGACCTGCACCTGGAACTCACCGACCCCAAGCAACCGGACAAACCCACGAACCCCATCCCCGAAGCACCAGAGCCCAAAAAAGACCAAACCTCGGACCGGGCTCAAGGCTTTCGATGCCGGGAAGGCCCTGGCCTAGGCGAGTTGAGGGTTTTCTGCTTGCTGCATGGCGAACATCACGATTACATCTTCCGCTGCTGCTGCTGCTACACACCTCCTTCTTCCCCTCCTCTTCCTCTTCTTCCTCTTCTTCCTCCTCTTCCTCCTCTTCCTCCTCTTCCTCCTCTTCCTCCTCTTCCTCCTTTCTCTCTTACGCATCAACTACCACTACTCCTGCCGCTGCACCCCCTGATGCCACAACTACATCGGCGGCGAAAACCACGACATCGACACCACAATGGACGACTACTACCAATAGCGATTCTGCGGCTACTGTTGTCGCCTTGGGCTACTACGAGGACTAGCAGTAGGAACTGCTCCTAGTCCTCCTCCTACTGCTACTGCGGCTCCACGACTACGACTACTGATTACTGATGACGACTCGCCCTTTTGCGGCCTACTCCATCTATTGCAAGCACAATTGCGACAAGGACAGTCAGCAGCAGTGCCAGTATCAAAGCCGTGGTCGGCATCACTGTCTCCACTCCTGCTCGCTGCTGGCCTCCATCCATGCCAGCAATTTTGCCATCATCAACAGCAGAAACGGCAGAAGCAACACTTCAAGTCATGTCACGAACACCGTCATCGCCATCCTGATTGTCAGCACCACCGCGACTACTCACACCATCACCGAGCCAGTGCGCTGGCTCCTCTCATGCGCCCACGAGACACTGACTAACCTGAGCCTTTCGAATCCATGGTCCAAACGGATGTGATGCAGGGGTCACATCGTACAGGGCCTGAGTAACTAGAATAAGGTTCTGGGGCCCATTATACAATAATTAGAATTACACCAGCGTAGACCCCAAACAGAATGCATCGAATCATGCATGTTCAAGTTGGAACGTGTTGGAACCCAATCTGGCTTCACAAGCAGATGCTGCGAAAAAATGCGTAGACATATGGACTATTTTTGTGCAAAAGAAGAACGGGTATTGATGACATCCACACGAGAAGGAAGCGTTCTTTTTCGGGAAAAGAACGCCGTGACCAAAAGGATTTGCTTGTGGTGGGCACTCATAGTTGCACCAAGTATGCTCCTTCTTGCAGGTTCAAGTTGGAACGTGTTGAAACCCTATCTGGCTTCGCGAGCAGACGCTGCGAAACAAATGTTTAGGCATATGGACTGTTTTTGTGCACAAGAAGAGTGGGTAGAGATGACATCCGCACGAGAAGGAAGCGTTCTTTTTTTGGAAAAGAACGCCGTGACCAAAAAGTTTTGTTTGTGGTGGGCACTCATAGTTGCACCGAGTATGCTCCGTCTTGCAGGTTCAAGTTGGAACGTGTTGGAGTGATGACATCCGCACGAGAAAGACGCGTTCTTTTTTTGGAAAAAAGAATGCCGTTACCAAAAGGTTTTGTTTGTGGGGGCCACTCATGCGGCCCAACCGTCCAACCCAGGAGCCCAGAAAGGAAACATGAAGGGAGCCCAGTGGGAGCCCAGGCCCTTTGCCGCGGCCCAGCCATCCAACCCAGAAGAAAATTTGATGGCAGCCGTCCAACCCAGGAGCCCAAAATGGAAACATGAAGGGAGCCCAATGCGAGCCCAGGCCCTTGTGCGGCCCAGCCGTCCAACCCAGGAGCCCAGAAAGGAAACATGAACGGAGTCAAAGGCCTTTTGCCGCGGCCCAGCCATCCAACCAGGAGCCAAAAAAGGAAACATGAAGGGAACCCAATGCGAGCCCAGGCCCTTGTGCGGCCCAGCCTTCCAACCCAGGAGCCCAGAAACGAAACATGAACGGAGTCCAAAGGCCCTTTGCCGCCCAACCAGGAGCCCAGAAAGGAAACATGAAGGGAACCCAATGCGAGCCCAGGCCCTTGTGCGGCCCAGCCGTCCAACCCAGGAGCCCAGAAAGGAAACATGAACGGAGTCCAAAGCCAAAGGCCCTTTGCCGCGGCCCAGCCATCCAACCAGGAGCCCAAAAAGGAAACATGAAGGGAGCCCAATGCGAGCCCAGGCCCTTGTGCGGCCCAGCCGTCAAACAGGCCGCGGCCCAGCCGTCCAACCCTGGGAGCCCAGGCCCGT